ATGCCCATGATCAAGCATCACAGTAAACCACGAAATCATCTACACTCTCTGGCAGGGTGAGAATCGGTGCCTCACATAACTGCTGTCTAAGAGTTTCGAAGGCTACCTGCTGCTCAGGCCCCCAACGAAAGGTCACTGACTTCTTGGTCAGTCGGGTTAACGGAAACCTCAATCTCAAGGAAGTCCCGCATAAATCTCCGGTAATAACCCGCTAGACCCAGGGAATTCCGAATCTCAAATGGAGACCTCGGAATCTTCCACTGCATCACGGCCTCTATCTTGGCCAAATCAACTAGAATACCCTTCTGGTTGACAAGGTGCCCAAGAGATTGCACCCTGCGCAACCAGAAGTCACATTTGGAGAACTTTATAAAAAGTCTCTCCCCCACTTAGATTCAACTAAGTCTTCATGGTACGTGAGAATTGAAGGATCCCTAATCCTTCTTACTTCTTATTATTCCACTGCCGACAATCTGAGCTTACCAACGCTAACGATCAATTACCAGTCAAACCTTATGATTGCCCATCCTCTGAAACCTTGAAGAGTTCTCTTGAATCTGGAACAGTCTGACACCTCAGACCATCTCCCATGATGTTCACTGAAGACCTTAATCTTCACTCTAGCTGACGAATCCTCGTTCTCATTTCCAACCTTGTCGTACCACTTAACTCCAACCGAACATAGCCCATGCAAAAATACAATTCTCTTGAACCTCCAATGACCAACCAATTATTCATCTAACACCCACGACTGACACTACCCTCTTCTTGTCACTAGTTCTGTCCTAGCAACGGTAGTGCCTTGAACTCCAATTTCATCCATGAACAATTACCGACCATACCTGAACAATGATAGAACCTCTGAACGCTGACTTCATTAGAGAACAATCACTCCAACCCTGATCGAGTATACTCTGAATAATACGCCTGTACCAATCTTGATGAAGATCTGAAATGACAACGGTACACAGGGAACCTACTCTGCAAGGTATATCCCTATGTGAGACACGATTTCTCACCCGGATTGATGCCCGGACTCGGCGAGTCGCCTTGGTGGATTCGGCGAGTCTGCGTTGTTTAATGAAACCCTAATTTCTCGAGATTGAGGCCTATTTAAAGGGCCTTATGGACATCATTTGCGCTCATCAGTCCCCAGAGTGAGATCCTAGAGAGTTTGAATGATTCAAGTGAGGGAAGGAGCCATTGTTGATCTTGGAGTTATTTCCTAGCAAGGAAAGAGGAGATCTAGCCAAGAGGAAGCAAGAGAGGGGTGGATTCTTGAAGAACTGAGGTCCAGGACATCACAACTGAGGTACCTTTCCGAATCCTTCTCTATTATTGTGATGTTCATATAGATTTAGGGCTTTTGAACCCATTTGTGGCTAGATCTAGTATCCTCATGGTCCCTTAGCGAGTTAAGGTTCTGGATCTGGACCCATAGTGGTCCAGAGCACCTCTTTGCGCAAGCTTTATATGCATCCACGAAGATTTTGGTTTGGGATCAATGTATTTGAGGCTAAAACACCATTAATGAGCTATTTGATGCTTAATGAGCACCAAGACTTGGACTTTACGTGGTCAATAAGCTTAAGGGGAATCGATCTATGAGTTAGTAGAGTGGATCTGACCTCAGAAGGTCATTTGGGGTTGTGCATGGAATGCACTCGCCGAGTCAACTCCTAGACTCGGCGAGTTGGTGCGGGTTGTTCAGTGATTACGAACTAGGGGCTGAGCAGCCGAGTCAGGTGAGTGACTCGGTTTAGTTGGAAGAGATTCAGAGGGATCAGGTTCCCGTAAGGACTCGGCGAGTCCACGCCAGACTCAGCGAGTCGGGTCAACCGTTGTCCGTTGTCTAGAGTTGACTAGTTTGACTTCGTAGTGTTAGTCAGCCAGGGTCAAGGTGGTATTAAGTAGAGATATGCTTGTGTTGTAGGAGGACGATAGCTCGGGAGATCGAGCGCTAGTGATTCCGAGATACGCGAGGTGAGTCTTCTCACTATACGTTACCTTGAGTGGTATTTCGAGTTGACCAGAGGGTCTTATGTGCTATGTATGAGATTATGTGTTATATTAGATATTTCGTGCTATGTGTTAGATGTATGCGGTATGATTATATAGACCCTGCCGGAGGATCCAACGATTCAGACCGGGCTAGAGGGCCCAATGAGCTATGACTGGACCGGAGGGTCCGACGAGCTGCGGGACTGGAGGGTCCCGCTGAGACATCTTGACCGGAGGGTTGGGCATAGCCTTGAGTGGCGTATTTGTGATCTGTGGTATTTTGGGGAACTAACTAAGCATTTATGCTTACAGTTGTTGTGTTTGATGTCTTAGGTACCAGCAAGGACCGTGGGAAGGTGATGGCTTGACTTGTACACAGCCACACCGATGGAGTTCATGCTAGAGAGATCTTGGGATTTGTTTTCAAAACAATGTTGTTATGGATTTGAGATTATGATATGATATACACTTTGTGGTTTAAAAATGAAAAATTAAATTGGAAATTTTACGTTGTTACAACAATGATGTTGAATCTTTTTAAGGTATCATCAAGACTTTCACCAAGGAGAGCTTCGAAGTTGTTAAATTATTTAGAAGGAATCAACAAGACTTTCACTAGGTAAATGTCATAACTTTTCATGGAAATCAATTTCATCTTTCTCCATCTTTTCAATGTCATCATTCGTAGGTCTGGTCATGGCAACTTTACCGCCTCCAAGTTTGGTTTGAGTTTCATCTGTTACAATAAGGGTAAGGATAGGTACATGTGGTCGTTTTTCTACAGATCTCGAAACTTCTTTACCATGTCTCCTTAAATATATTTTCATATGTTGAGACCAATGATGATATTCACTTACAATAAGCATTAACAACATTAGATACATTTAATATGTAAAGTTGTGGCATTTAACTTATTTGAAAAAGATGATTTAAGTGATATACAGGTCTATTAAATTAGATTTTTTTTTCTTTAGAAAAGATTATGGATTTTCAAAGAAAGTTAAAAAAGCAACCACTATGGCTCTGATACCAACTGTTGAAAGAAGAACTTTGAGTGAAAAATAAAATTGTGATGCAGAATGTAGGTTAATCTCTACAATCTTATGAAGCTCGACAATAATAAGAAGTAACATAAATTACGAAGGAAACATGATTGTAACGTCCCAAAATTCAAGGCCAAAAATTTTATTTTTATTTTAAGTTATTACATAAAACAGATCAATATAAAAACTTCCATAATAAAATCTCATATCAAAAACCAAAGTGTCAATAATCAAACAAAGTATCATGAATCTATATCAGAGTGTAATCCCAAGGATCTAGTGTGCGGAACACATAGTGTGATGCGTTGCGACCAAGCCGACTCCTTTCCTTTGAAACAATGTACTTGAAACACATAACACATAACACGGTAAACACGCATGCTTAGTCAGTTCCCCAAAATACCACTTACACACATACGCCCTTCCAGACCATGACCTTCCGGTCCATGTGTCTCAGGGGACTTCCGTGCCAACCCGGTAAACCTTCCGGTCCTACCCGTATAAACCTTCCGGTCCATAACTCCCTGACCTTCCAGTCTACATCATAATGCCTTCCGACCCGTAACATAATGCCTTCCGGCCCATATCAAGCATAGAGTACATAACACATACAAAACATGTAACTATTCACATATAATACATATATCTTATAGCATACCAGACCTTTCGGTCACACATAGATACCCTTTCGGGTACAGCATAGTGAGAAGACTCACCTGACACTGCTGAAGTCCCGCAGACTCAATCCCACACTGCTGAAGTCCTGCAGACTCAACCCCACTTGCTGGATGGCAGATTCCCGATCTGTCAATATCAAAACATCACCCAATTAATAATTGGGTCCCACTACATAACCATAAATACATACTTTGAATAATTACTAAATTACCCCAAGTTTGGCTTTATTTAAGCCGAAGGCCCAATCCATAGGCCCAAAGTCAATTCGGAGTCAAAGCCCATCTATGGCCTAATTTTCCAAAGTGTGCCCAAACCCCTTGCATGGGCCTTACCCTAGGCCCATTAAATTACTCTAGACCATTTGCTTGATCTTGGATAACCTATTTAATAACCCAATTATCAAAATTTTCCAAATTGTGCCCAAACCCCTTGCATGGGCCATACCCTAGGCCCATTAAATTACTATAAACCATTTGCTTCATCTTGGATAGCCTATTTAATAACCCAATTATCAAGGCCCAAAAGAAAGGCCCAACAATAAACCCAAGTGAAATTAGGGTTTCACATAAAATGATGATTAGGGTTAAGTTTCCTACTTAACCCATTAAAGACTTAATCCATTAAGGACTTAATCCATAAAGTCCAATATTGCTTAAATTAATCTTTGTCCATGATTATTATTTGATATCTCAAGTTATTAAATAATTCCCGTGTATGTGACCCAATTAATTCTTAAAGTTAGGTTTTCATTGGCATTAGGGTGTTCCAATCCAAATATTAGCCCATTTATCAATTTGTTGGCCTTTTATGATAATTAGGGCTTTATTGGGCCTAATAGGCCCACTAAAATCTTATTAAGCCCATATGGGTTTTATTGGGTCCATTAGAGTCCATTAAGCTTCATTGGGCCCATTAGATCTTCTTTGGGCCCATTAGGGTTTCAAGCATCCCCAATCAAGTCAACTCACAAGACAAGCACACCGCCACCCGACACGACGGCCAGTGGCGGCAGCCACCACCCTGAGGTGGTGGTTTTCAATTTATTTTCATTATACCATTCTTGTTACAATTTACAATGTAAAATTTGATATCTCACACACACACTAACCAAGCTAAACATACACACACATACATTGTGGCAGCCACCACCTCATGGAGGTGGTGGTCTTCTTGAAAAATCTGGCCAAATGAACCACATGCAACACTCCATGAATCCCACACTTAAACACACAGAAAATCTCACCCACCACTAAATCACGCACACACAACCAACAACATATGGCAGTGGGTGGTCGCAGACCGGTTGTACACTGTGGCGGCCACCTTGGTCGGCTGCCATGGTGGTTTTTCCGAGCTTTCCGGTTACAAGCACACACACGCGACTCCAGGGATTATCGTGACACCTTCACGTGAACGTACCTGCTGCTGCTCCCTCCTCTCGGTGGTGAATCTCGATCAGGTACTCAAAATGTAGGTTGAACTCGTGGTGGCAACAGAAGCTAACTAATGTGGGACGAGCTCCAAAGCGGCGACGGTCGGAACGACACCGGTGACAGCCGGGTGCGGTTGTGAACAACGACAGAAAGAGAAGAAGAAGGAGAACGACGGAGAGGTGGCCTCGGGCACTCACAGTTTCGTTGGTGGTTGTCGTTGTCGCCGACAACAGGGCACGACGGCGGTGTGGCTAGAACGTAGCATCATGGACGGAGAAGAGGTTGATACTGGTTGGAGGAGCGTGAGCAATTAGCGATGGCGGCTGGAGGAGTGGATGGGGCGGCCAACACTTCATTAGGTTTTAGGGTTAGTTATCGGTTAAGCTAGGTTTATATACCCGCTTCCTTTATTACATTCACCCATAATAACAACTATGACCCTTCCCTTCCAAAATCAATTCGCAATAAGTCCCATATTTACCTTTTAAACACCAGCATTTAAAATCCATTGCAATCTAGGTATTATATTTACAAAACAGCCCCTTTGTCTCCGAAATTACTTCAAATAAAGTCCCTAAAGTTACAGTTAAATCCCTGCCTTCAATAATACTTACAAATTAACTCCGAATTTACACTTTTAGCCCCCAATCTCTAAAACACTACTAGAAAAATAGCCTTTTACGACGCGCAAATTCTGACACTCATTAATTTATGTTACGCAAACGAGAGTGACATTAAAAAAGTGTCATCTCTTTAGAAAATTTAAGGATTTAGGTCATGCATTATTGCGTGTGTTTAAGTTAGTGTCAAAAGAAAAAAAATTAAAAACACGGAGGGCGCTGTACCTTAAATGCGCGCCCTCTATATGTGTCGCTTTATAATTTTAATGAACACGCGTTCCTTAGTTACAAGTGGGAAAAGAAAAGCCAAAAAATTAGAAAAGCCCGCTACCCTCCCTGCCCTAAGCATTTTCACACATCTTTCATTCTCCTCACACTGTTGTGCAACTTCTCAATCAAAGATCGAAGGTTACGATTTCATCTCCATCTCTCGACTTCATCATCTCTATCAAGAAAAAGGGCTTCTGAGACTCGCTCAATCGCTAAAAGCCTGGGATTTGCTAGCTTCTCTCTCATAACCACCACACTTCTCCTTCTCGCCACCATTACCGCCGCCCAAACTCGAACTCCAACACCACCGTCACCGCCACCAGCGTCCGATTCCTGCAACGGCGTCTACTTATCCTACACTTACACATCCGGATCCAAGCTCCCACCAAACCGAACATCATATCAACCCTACCGCTTTGAATCAACCCTCAGAGTCCTCAATAACGCCGACGAAGAGCTTAAATCATGGAGGGTGTTTGTGGGTTTTCTGCATGATGAGTACTTGGTATCTGCTTCTAATGCTGTAATTGCTGATGGGTCTGCTACTTTTCCGGGTCCGGTTAGAAACTACACCATTTTTGCTGTATTTCCAAGTGCTGATCTCAAGACTACTATTGAAACTGCTGGAGATGTGAATCAGATGTCGGTTGAGGTAGATTTTGTGGGTATGCAGTTCAGAGTCGACTCGCCCACTGTTCCTATGCCTTCAAATATTTCTCTAGTGAATGATGGCTTTGTTTTCCCTAGACCTTCTATGCAAGGTAAATTTCTCTTTATTTATGCTTTATAACCTTACTATAGCTTACCATGGATGAAAAGGATTATGATCAAAGATTGCCCTGTTTAATAATATTTAAAAACTATCCTTTGACTTCGATGTCTACTATTTGAGTAGATCAGTGGAGCGTTCTTATAGATCTGATCTTGGTTTATATGTGGTCGTATCACTGAATAAACTTACTAATCTGATCTTACTCGAAGTGGGTTATTTTGAATTGCTTGAAATTTGCCATGGTCGAACTTAGTGTGTGCTTGAAACTTACATTACTTTCTTGATTTCAATTGTTTGAACGTTTCTAATCAAGGGTTCTTTGTTACAATCTACTTGAATTTGTTTCTGTTTCTTTAAAAAGTTTGAACTTTGTTACCTTCAAGCAATTAATCAGCAAATTCTTTGGTAGTTCCATCTTCCATGAATAGACTATTTTATAGATGTTTGACTTTCTTGAAATGGTTTCTTTTATTAATTGCTTAAAAACTTGCAGGATTGAACTTTTCATTGTGATGTAAATTTACCTAATTTTAACATCTTTAAAATACTATCTTGTTTTTAATTGCTTGACCAATTCATTCAAGGGCTCTTCTTGATTCATTCTTACTTGAATCAAGTCCATAATTGAAAATCAACAAATTCTTTTATAATTGGTTCTATGACCAAACAATTTTACTTGATTAATATATTTGACTAAATCTCGTTGAAAAACGAATGCCTGATTTCCAATTAGGATTTCGTATTTATGGAATCCAAGTTCTTGATTCCTGAATTTGATTTCCCTTGACCCTCGTTACAGATCTGTAGAAAATTCAGAAGAGCCGCCACATATCTCAAGCACACGGTACCATCATGATTGACAATGGGAATGATCATTTTGGGGATGTTACAGATATTTCTCCACTTGCTGGCATGGTAATAATATATATCCACTTGCCAATGATTCTACTTTTTTTTTTCTGTGAACTCTATGAATTCATTTTTCTCCAATGTGTTTCTTAGGATGGTTTGTTGGGTGTCTCTGCTTATGATGCTGACAAGAACTGCACGTGCCTCTTCGTATCATCAAAAGCAACCCCTTATCAATCTATTCCAACAATGGTTGGCTCAATGATTTCCATTAGGTATTGAACAAAATCACCTTGACCTAAAAGGATATATCTTTTAATAGCTAAACAGTGTTCTTTAAACTTATATTGGTTGAAAATAATATCCATTAAATGTTTATCTGTTCTTTTTGATGATTCAGTGACTAAAGATTCAAGTGCATTAGTTTCACCATATCCAAGACCCCCTCTCTTAGGATTTGTCCATGTGGAAGATTGCAGGATCCATAAACTCCAAATCACCACCCAGAAGAGGAATTTGACTCGTCACTTGGTATTCCATTTATTTGATGATTATTTTATTACTTCAGTTGCTAATGCTTCAAAATTATTAGTTTATGACCTTTTCTTATCCTTTTGAGTAATAAATCTTGTAATATATTATCTAAAATTTAGGAGTAAAAGTATAGGAAATCCCTAATGAATTTCTTTGATTTGTGTAGCTTACCTGGCCATGTGTATACGAATTTATCATCATATATTTCAATAACTATATAAAAAATTTGATGTCATAGGATCAAGAACAGGAAATTCTACCAAAATCAGTATGCCTTCTGCAACCAGTATGTACAAATTATGGTTTTATATCCTTGTAGAGTTGTAGGCACATGTTATTGATCATATTTACACATTTAGTAAAGTTTGGATGTTATCTTTTTCAGGCTTTTAACAGCCCCGGCTACTACTCTCTTCCCTTCACTGGAATCTGAATCACATAAAATATTCATGAATCAGAATGAAGATTCTAAAGATCATCATCCAAATGCACCAAAATTTAGAGTAAGAACCACTATTAATGAAGGTATTCTACTGGGCTGGGATGCTTGTTATTTGGATATGGAGCCATGAAAGAACTTGGACCCTTCTGTGTTAACAGTGATGGAAAAACACTCTACCCCAACCACTATGCATGGAACAATGGTAACAAAAATTCCTTTAAAAATTCCTTTAATTACTATGTCCCATTCACATCACTTATAATCTTAGTCCCTGTCTTGCTGGTGCATGCCTAACCCTCTAAAACCTTTGCTTTTGAGGTACTAACTGTTTTCTCCTGGAATTTTTTTTGCCTGAGATTTTTTGCTGTTAGCTATCCCTTCGGGACCACTCTTATGTATTATGTCAAAAGCACCAATTCAGAAATTTGCTGATTATGTAAGTCAGCTTTCCTCTTCCTTTTTGCTTTTTATTATTTATGCACCCTTATGCCACAAATCTCTTTATTTATCATACTAAATATGCAACCATCGCTTATTTTACTCCTAACTTGTTGTATAATTCATTCATGTCAGCTGCATATATGTTGCATAAAATAAATTGGTAAAAGTAGACATGCGAATTATGGTTCGAGTGTTTATATTTAAAAGGATTAAATGCATATGCATATTTATGAAACAACATTCACCCTCTTCCCGATTCTGCAACAAATTTGTTTCTTTATTAGAAAATATGCACCGGTGTATTATTTATTGTAGGACCAAAACATACGATGTTTTACCAGTAACCTATTTAACCTGATGAAACATGGGTGTATAAGTTGCATAAATAGGTTAAATAGGGAAAGATGATTGCATAAATTGGTAAAAGAGAATTCACTTATTATGCGTATTATGAGTATATATATATATATATATATATATATATGTGTGTGTGTGTGTGTGTGTGGTTCAGGTTGCAAGCATTTTTGTCCCTATGGTGGTTGGTTTGTCATTAATGACGCTGCTAGGGTGGTAAGTTTCGAATCCATAGACTTGCAATAAATTACATAATACATAAGAGAAGAGAAGGGAAATGACATGTGGTAAATTTGATTAGTCCTCTATCCAACTCTTTAGCATTCTTATGAGTATTCTTTCATGTGTTCAAAACTGAGTCCTGAAACTGAATATCTTTTGGTGCTATGATCATTTATTTGAAGCTCTGATGTTTACCCAAGACTTAAAGGTTTGCTTTCCCAAGTTCTTCCTATTTTAGGGAATGTTAAAGATCAACATCGACCAATTTTTGCAAATGGTATGCTTAAAGACCCTTTACCTCCTTGTTTCCATGATTCCTTTTCACTAATTCTATCATCTATTGGTTCTTTCATACACATGCATCTGTTATCTCAAATCTTACATTTATTTTTATTTCTATTATTGTTTTTTCCAGCTTTTAGGTGTTGGTGTCAAGCTTGTTGGCAATACAGTGTGGAGTACCCTCTTTCATCAATTCTTAATAGTGATGTCACGTGAGAAATCATTTTTCTTTTTGTTAAACAAGTCTTTATTATCATGTATTAGGTCATACCATGGGTAAAAACAGCCTTGCCCCTGGTTCCGGGGTTGTCACAAAATACTTGACTTTTTAACTTTGTTTGTGGTTTCATTTAGTAATAATCCTTCTGAGGGGGTATTTGTTGGGCTGCTTCTTTCAATGTCATTAACAACAGTGGTAAGTAAAATCTTACTACTATGAACCTCTTTTGCTTAAACATACCTTATTGACCTGTAGTTGATTAAACATTAAATTAATTATGCAGGTTTTGAAGTTTTTGATGGAAAAGAATAGTGTTAATGCTCTTCATAGAAAAGTATGTTGGTATTTTAGGAAATTTGGCTAATAATTTAGTTAATTATATAAAAAATGTTGAAATCTTACATTTGTCTACTATTGGAATGATTATTTGTAGTATTACATTTGTCTACTATTCGAATGATTATTTGTATAACATTAACTTTCGTGCAATACATTGTATTATTTGTATATGGTATTTTATTTTCCATTATGTGACATAAAATGCAAATTTAATATGAAAATAAGTAAATCCATAAATAATTTTTTTTTTAAAATTTAAAATTACGATACGTAAAAATGTGTGTCATCTTCATTTATGACATGGCCTTTCTTAACAGGGGATTTTTTGATACGCATTGCGTGTCATTAACACGCGCGTCGTAAGATTACGACACGCGAATGCGTGTCGTCTTGCTTTATGACAGGGCCTTTCTTGATACGCATTGTGTGTCGTAAACGCGCGTCGTAATTGTGCGTCGTAAATGACCGTCGTAAATGCGCGTCGTCTCTCTTTATGATAGGACCTTCCTTGACGCGCATTTGCGCGTCATCTGAGCCGTTTACGACACGCAATGAGCGTCGTAAAAGGCTGTTTTTCTAGTAGTGAAAGTGTGACAAATAGCTCCTCGAGATCAACACTTTGCTAAATAATTATTTGTTTTAGGGCTACAGGCCATTCATTAATTAATTTATTTATTTAATAAATAAACGGGGTTTTACAACTCTCCCCCACTTAAATTAGATTTCGTCCTCGAAATCATTCCTTACCAATCCTTACATACCAAGCCACTCTAGTAACATAGTCATCAACATGGGCCCGCCCTAGCCTTCCCAAGGTAGCCATGACAAATCCTCGTAACGCCCTAAAATCCGCAAGTGAACAAATTCCCCGCAGCAAGATGACATGCATTATGTGCAAAATCTGCTGTCCTGAGATGGTTTGAATCCCTGATAGACCACTCATACCGAATCATTATCATCGAACCTAGCCCGCTTGACTCTCAATTGTCTACTCAGCTTCTGATAACTCGAGGCTCCCATTATAAAACAGGGTCACAGACCCACTTATCCTTGCAGATCACTTATACTTAGCTAAAACTCAGATAATCTCATTGCAAGTGACTTACCACTTCCTAATCAACCAGCTATTCCATCCGTATTTGCAACCTGAAGTGCAAATACTAACACCGCCCAAACGCTAAAACTGACCGAGCACTGAACTCCCTACTTAGTCGCCTCACACGACTTCTGAACGAAATCCTTCTCTGGAACTAGTTGTCACTAGTTATCATGTCATTGAGGCTCTAACAACCTTCTGGTCTAATCTATCGGGTCCATGCATCGAATCCTATCATCATCACATCCAAGACTAAAAGTGATTGCTACCTAACCAATGGTTGCCTTACATCACAAATGCCCTTATGCCATCCATTACTTCCCTGGTATCATAAGTGTAGTGACGTTTCTACTTTCTTATCACTGGCTCAACCAGATCTAATCCATCTGGGTAATACCGAAATCCTATACCTGGATTTCCATAGCCTCACTGATGCACCCGAACTGGTGGGTACTATTGTTCCTTCCGAGTTCTAACAACACGCTCATGCCAGCTACCGACCTAGTGAATGCAACGGCTACACACGCAGACTTACTACAACTACACCCGTAGACTTACAACACTTTCCATCCTGGGTCGAACACGCACTCGACCTAACCCTCAACTGAACTCGAGTCCTAACCGGAACTCTAACCTGGTTTCCGAAACCTACTATCACGTGACCCCACTGTATCAATACTGCACCCATGCCCATGATCAAGCGTCACAGTAAACCACGAAATCATCTACACTCTCTGGCAGGGTGAGAATCGGTGCCTCGCATAACCGTTGTCTAAGAGTTTCGAAGGCTACCTGCTGCTCAGGCCCCCAATGAAACGTCATGGAATTCTTGGTCAGTCGGGTTAATGGAAACCACAATCTCAAGGAAGTCCCGCATAAATCTCCGGTAATAACCCGCTAGACCCAGGGAATTCTAAATCTTAAATGGAGACCTCGGAATCTTCCACTGCATCACGACCTCTATCTTGGCTGAATCAACTAGAATACCCTTCTGGTTGACAAGGTGCCCAAGAGATTGCACCCTGCGCAACCAGAAGTCACATTTGGAGAACTTTATAAAAAGTCTCTCCCCCACTTAGATTCAACTAAGTCTTCATGGTACGTGAGAATTGAAGGATCCCTAATCCTTCTTACTTCTTATTATTCCACTGCCGACTATCTGAGCTTACCAACGGTAACGATCAATTACCAGTCAAACCTTATGATCGCCCATCCTCTGAAACCTTGAAGAGTACTCCTGAATCTGGTACAGTCTGACACCTCAGACTGTGACAACTGCCAATTCAGGTCATTCTTGGACTCATGCATCTTTATAATAACCATTCATGCACAACATGCCATGACCTAGTAGTATAAATTAGGTCAAAAATCTTGCATAAACTAGGATCCAACTAAGGTCTAGGACTAATATACTTGATATTTACAATTCTAGTAAGTTGCTTAGCTACAATAGGAAATGCCAATACTATAATTAGAATAAAGCTTCAAGCTTTGTTATAATTGAAATAGGGTATAAAACTCTAAAAATAAATTAAAACATTCTAATTATACTTCAACATGTTGTTGAATATCAAACAATATTCCAAAAACCCTAAAGAGCCAAAAATCCAAAGTTATAAATTATAAAGCTTAAAAACTTTATAAAATTTGGCTATAAACTTCCTAATATCAAATTTTATTAATCAAATTATGGATTATACCAATGAACTAGAAATATAAATTACAAGTATTAATCATAAATTATTTGTTGAAAACAAGATTTTTAAATAAATCAAATTGCTTAATAAACATTTTATAAAAATGAATGTTTTTATATAAAATATAGGAGGGAAGTTTATAAAGTTTAAAATTTAGGAGAGAGGAGGCCAAAATGCATGCAAAAACCGGCCATCACCCTCCCCATGCCCTCTCTCTTCCCCAAAACACAATCATTAAGCTTAAACCCTTACTCCACCTCTTCCCTCTTCACTCTCTCACTTCACTCTCTTCACACACTTCACTCTCTTCTTCCCTCTCTCTAAACTCACGAAAATCCTCTCATTTCTCTGCAAAATTTCGAGATTGTGAAGCCCTTGAAGTGTTCTTACTTCTCTCAAGGTCAAAACCAAGGTAAACAACATCTTCTTCCATAGTTTCATGGTTAAACCTCTTTTTCTTCTTAGTCTTCTCTACTTTT